CATCATCATAAAAATATTAATGTACCAAGATAATCTGAGATGCTGTGTGAATTTGAACATCAGACACTAATGATTGACTCTGCCTGCAAGTATTAAGGAATCTTGTAATGTTAGGTTCAAATGATTGTGTAGTTACTTTGTAATTTGATTTTAGTAAAAACAAAAAATAACTTTGGATGCTGTAGACATCTTTCCCTCTCTATTATCTCTGCATGTATCTATAACTGTAGTCACAGCAGAGGCATCCGGTTGGGAGGCTGGTGAATTTCAGCTTTCTCTGGGCAATCATTTCTGCTATTTACTAACAATCGAAGGGACGGTTTTCTAAAATTCCCCAGTTCTGTGTGGCGTGGGTCACTAAAACCCACAATTGCCTCACTAAGAGTACAAGTCTCTTTCCTTCCCCAGCAGCAATGATGTGGAGCCAAAAGTCGTCGTCTTCTCTTTTCAGCATAGCCGTGTCACAAGAGAAGAGGAAAGGAAGGGATAGAACTTCCCTCAATCCTAACCCATGATGTACTTACTAAGCAGTGGAGGAACACACCCAAGTATGAGCAAGCCCAGAGCAGAAAGCTAGAAACGCAAATCAAATTTCCTTTTCATCAGCATTTTTCATCCTTTTTCAGAACATGACCCCACATTTCAGTCATCTGCACCCTACCCACCGCCTCTGCATCCCAGAATGCTTTGTGCCTGTTTAAACAGTGCTCTCCAGAATAGGAGCTAGGCCCCATGGTGCTTCCAAAGAATCGCTGTGACCCCAGCACCTGATGCAATGGTGATAGGGCACCTGCTGGAATCTGAAAAGTACCACCTGTTTCCAGGGCAGTGCAGACAAATCCACTTCAACAGGTGACCAGAGACCGGACATGAGGCTGGCTCAAAATGCTCTCCGATAGCTGCCAGCAACTTGCTTTACCCCCCTAGGATGAAATATGCCTCCTCAGCCAGTCCCTAATTAAAAATCTTACTTCCAGCTCTGTAAAGCAAGGTTGGTTTGGAAAAGCAGAACTTGTGTGATTAGTTTTCCCATAGAGGAGCAAGGGAAATGAGAGGTTACCTACAACCTTTACCAAGGTGCCTCCCCCCCACAAGTATCAACACTTAACCTGCCCTATAAAAAGGACCAGAAGAAAACTTATAGCCACCCTAGGCTGTATTCAGATTGTCCTTCCATGACCGAAACCCCCCACACAATGCTTCCTCTTCTTCTGAATTTTCAGCATAGATAGTCCCCAGGAGGTGTGTGCCAATGTGACTGTGCCACCCATTATGATAGTGGTGGGATCTCCCATCACCTATCTAGACCAAAGGACGACTTTCCCTTCCTGCTCTGCCAAAGGCTTCCCACAATAAACAGGTTTGCCCAGGTTAATTATAATTTGACCACTTTATTCACCCACTCGCCTGGCCTAAGAACACTGAAATTAACATATGCATCTCCCTCTCATCCTTGACCCCATCCCACATAGTATTCACATTCTAATTAATTCATGCAAAGAAAACCCTCCCTCTACACGGACAACAAATGGCTCCAGGAACATCATACATAAAGGAAGGTACTTCATAGGGGTAAACAGATTAAGACTCAAAAAACCAAAGGCAAAGAATAAAACTGGCAAAAAACATAACGCGGTGTTGTAGGGCTGCTATAAAGTTTGCATTGGTATATCCTGGGAAAACATGCTCGTGTTTCTTATGCCCATAAATAATATGGCAATCCTCTGTTCTTGGTAAGAAGGGCTCTAATGGCATCCTATTTGATGATCTGTGTATAGACCAGAAGTGGTTGGGAAATTATTTTTTTTTTCTAAGGAAAATATTCGAATGAATTTTTTTCTTGGAATATATTTGGGTTTTCTGCAACCAAAAAACAATGTGTTTGGTTGCTGAACACAAAAAAATTGGAGGTGGAAATGGATTTTTTTTGTGTGTGTGTGAAAATTTCCCTTTAGTAGAAATGCCACTTTCTATTAAAAAAAAAAAGTTTCAACAGATGTTCAGCCTGAAATACATATTTCTGTTATTCCAGACTTATTGCTATTTAGAATGACCTATAGCAGAGGTTCTCAACCTGGGGGTTGGGACCCCTCAGGGGATCGTGAGGTTATTACATGGGGGGTTGCAAGCTGTCAGCCTCCATCCCAAAGCCTGCTTTGCCTCCATCATTTATAATGGTGTTAAATATATTAAAAAGTGGTTTTAATTTATATGGGGGGGGGGTCACACTCAGAGGCTTGCTATGTGAAAGGAGTCACCAGTACAAAAGTTTGAGAACCACTGACATATAGTGAGTTACAATGAACAGAATACACATAACGTATTGTGGCTTCTTTTTTTATCCGTTCTGTAACACTGCTTTCTATGAACAGGAAAATGGAATAAGCAGAGGAATGAGGTCAACAATGCAATAAGTGCTTCCTTTATAAACCATTGCACCTGCACTATGGTTCATGTATTATAGGCAAGGCTGGTAGCACCACCAGTTTTTAAGGTAGCTCACTTCCCGTTCTAAAACCTGTTTTCAGCTCCTTATACATTTGCTGTTTGGGCTCAAATTTTCTATGCTGAGCATCTGCAGCAGGCTGAATATTTTGGGGAAATTTCAGCCAAAGCAGTTCAGCCATTTCAGAGAACAAGGATAGGGGGAAATGCATTGTTTTGCCCATATTAAAAAATTCTGGCAACCTCTTCTTTGAACAGCTTTGTCACAGGGACTTGAAAATTGGCAGGGTGGAGGCCTTTGTGTCAGGAATAAGCCCTTTACTGTTGCCAGGGCCGGCTTTAGGACCTGTGGGGCCCGATTCGAATACCCGGTGGCAGTTCGGGTCTTCGGCGGCACTTCGGCGGTGGGGGGTCCTTCACTCGGCTCCGGGTCTTCCGGGTCACTAAAGGAACCCCTGCCGCGTAAATGCTGCCGAAGACCCGGAGCGGACCGCTGCCGGGTGAGTAAAAAAATTTAAAAAATTAAAAAGGCGCCTAAGGCGTGGGGCCCTCTTAGGCGTGGGCGTGGGGCCCTCTTAGGCGTGGGCACGGGGCCTGCTTAGGCACAGGGCCCAATTCCGGGGAATCGGCCTAAAGCTGGCCCTGACTGTTGCTGTAAAAATCTGATCAAATTTGGCCAATATATAAACTTTAAAACAACTGTAGTTTGCACATGCTCAGTGGAGACTTGTTTTATTTTAGAAGCTAAAATCTCCAAAGATTCAGCCCTCCCTGAGCATGCTTGAGTCTCTCTCAGCTCCCAGGGCTGACCGGACTAGGCATGCTCCATCCCCACACAGCTTCCACCTGTGACCGGACTGTACATGCACCATCCCCACAGAGCAACTGAGCATACTCCAGCCCAGAGCTATGGGGTAAATTACTTTTTCAGTAATCGTAGCTTCCAGGTGGGCTGGGTCAGGATTTGTCCAAGAACTGGAACTGAGAGCAGGGAGCCTGTCTCCCCATTGGTTTCGATGACCTCCTTGTTGGTGCCAAGGCAGCTTGGAGGAGGAAGCTGTCCGATTTGAATGCAAAGAGAATAAGAACAGCCTATGAGGGGAAGGGAAGGAGTTGGTTGGGACAAGGAGACTGGCACTGGAGGAGGGGGAAGAAACTGTGACTGAGAGTTGGAGGGAGAACTGTGAGATGAGGGGGAAGGTGGTTGACTAGTTGGATGGGGAGACTGGGACAGGGAGACGGGGGGGGAAGAGACAGGACTGGGACAGGAATAGATTGGAGGTGGTGGGGCACGAGATCAACCTTGGGGGAATAGACAGGAGAGTCTATGCCCCCTAGACCACACCTTCTTCAGAGCCTGGAATGGACCCCATTCCTCGACTGTGATACTTTTCCAGTAGGTATGTGTCTCATCCTCTTTTAGTTCTGGTGCATGTGAAGGATGACAATCTACTACCGCTATCAGTTCCTTCATTAGCTGAAGTGTCAGAGAACTGCGAGGTGGAAGCTGGAAAGTGTGTAGTAAATAAGGCCGGGAATTGCAGGAAGAGAAAGAAGCAGGTCATGGTTAAGATAATTAAATGCTGCCCTGGGGAACAGGATTCTATGCCTGCCTCAGCCACAGAGCTCCTGAGTGATGCTAGGAAAGTAATTTAAACCAAACTTTTCAATGGTGGTTGTCAATTGTGTGTTCCTCATTTTCTGGGTGCCTGACTTGATAACCTGAGGTCCCATTTGCAGAAGTGCTGAGCACTCACCACTGTAAATGAAGTCAATGGCAGCTGTGCTTTGAACATAGAACATACTATGTAAAGCTAAGGACTTTGAAAAATCAAGTCCTAGGTGTCTTAAATTGGGCACCCAAAATTAGTGGATTCTTTTGACCTTAATCTCTCTGTTCCTCATCACAGGCGTATTAATTAAGCACTCCAAAACGATTGTGATAAGTGCCATAGAAAAGCCCAGGAGAAAATCAATAATTCTGCCTTCAGAGCAAGGTTTGAAAGTGTGCAGTAAATAAGGGATGCGCCCACACATTGAACAGTAAGGATAAAATACAATTTTCAGTGAGCACCATCCATCCTGTGCACTGAATAAGGCAGGGACTCCTACAGAAAAATAGTATGTGCTCATGTAGTTAAAGATTGTATCATAATAAATATGGTCAAGCAGGCCAAATTCAGGTGGCACAACCTTAATTCAGGTACTTCCTAACTTTGGAGTGTTTGACTGTTCAACCTCAAAAATGTTCTTTTAACATCATTCTTGTGTGTGTGTTATATATATCCTGAGAAAAGAATGGAAAACATGAAAGAGAAGAAGGCAGAAAAAATAGCAAGTTATAAAGAGACTCAAAGGAAGCAGTTACTTGAAAAAAAAAACCAAGTGAATGGTAAGCAAGGTAGATAGACTCAAGATAAATATGAAATGGAAAAGAAAAGATTATTAGAATCTTCTTATTAACTCCATCCTCCATTAGGATCTCTCCTATCTGTAGAACAGTCACACAACACCTTCAGCCGCCAGTAAAATGTAACTTGTATTTTTTGTGAAAGAAGGAAGGAAAAGAGAGGAGCAGCAACAGCAGCTCTAGATCCCAGATGATATAATAAGTGAAGAGAAGGAAGTATTGCTGACTTGGCTTCTGATCCTGGCAGAGCGAGTCTGTCTCACTGAGTTCAGCGTAAGAGAGAAGTAGCTGCAGTCCTGTGAAGAATGGAAAAGTTAATGTGGTTAGTGGCACTTGTGAATTCCTTCATCTTCTGCAATGGTGAGTAAATGCAAATGCTTTTCATATTCAGAGAAAGTTACTCTACAGGTGCAGACATGCCTGTGTGTGATAGTTGATTGTTTGTATAGATATGTTGTTGATGGAAGAATAAATATTAAAAATGCTGTGAAAACCAGAACCTTAGTTCTGCAGCTAATACACATTTACAGTCATTTTGCATCACATACAACTGGGAGATGTTTTTGAGAATGTAACAAACAGCCCAGTATTAAGCAATTTGTCAGATGTAATGTGCCCAGAGTAGGGTGACCAGACAGCAAGTGTGAAAAATCGGGACGGGGTGGGCATTAATAGGAGCCTATACAAGAAAAAGACCCAAAAATCAGGACTGTCCCTATAAAATCGGGACATCTGGTCACTCTAGCCCAGAGTTAGAACAAAATAAGATTGTTCAGGATACTGGGAGAGCGTCTTCTCTGGCATTTTAGTTTCTGAAAAGTTCATTGTATGGTTGGAATATGTTCATTCTTTTGGAACGTAACATCTTTTCAGAATTGTACTGGTGGGTATTGTAATTACAATGCTGGCTATAGCTGCACCCATGGCTTACCTCCAGACAGACTCTGATCTCCGTAACTCTGTTACGCTAGCTACACTCATGTAATTGAGATCAGAATCTGAGCTGTCATTTTCTATAGTGCTGCAGTTTCAAATGTGCTCACATTTTACCAGTAAATCTGCACTGCATTAGGAAGAACTTGGAAAACAAGATAAGGGGGAAATTGGGTGACCAGATGTCCCGATTTTATAGGGACAGTCCCGATTTTTGGGTCTTTTTCTTATATAGGCTCCTATTACGCCCCACCCCTTGTCCCGATTTTTCACACTTGCTGTCTGGTCACCCTAGGGGGAAATGTTGATACTGATTTGAAAGGTGAGTGTGGAAGCCCTGAGTTACTCCCACGTTTTAGGAAAGAATGTGGGGGAAGGCACCAGTCCTGGTTTGTGATGCAAAAGTAGAAGTTTAGATATATGTCCTATTTCAGTTGCTTACTTGGAGTTCTGTTTTAAACTGAGTTAAAAGTAACAGGAGGCTTTCAGAAAAGGGGACCGGGGGGTGAAAAGTAAAAGCTGGACTTTGAGGAAAATTCTGAAGTCACTTGCTAATGAGATGCAGCAGTTCTCAGACGATTTATGAGGCTGAAATTTGGACGGGCATCTGATAAACTGGAAGAGTGAGCCTAGATTCACAGAACTTGGAGATGAGATAAGAATTGTGGCTCCAAATGCAAACTTGCCCATAGTTCCGATCCAGTGCTCTGGTTGGGATTCGTCTTACAAAGATGGCCATGAACCAAGAAGACCAGATGCAGATCTGGACCGCCCCAAAGAATTCTTGTCCCAGTTCACAGGTTTATTGTATGAGACTAGTGATTCAGGGAGTAATTTTATGCCATTAGGAAGGTGGGGGATCGGGAGAGGAGGAGGGGAGAGGGTCTAAAAGAGATTGTCCCACTCTTATGGAATGGTCCAGAAAATGAAAAGGTTTGAAAATTTGTACTATTCTAGAAGGTTAGTTAGCCCATTCCTTTGACCAATGGAGGAATGTTCTCCGTGGTTTTGGCAGTTTAGTTTTAAATCCCTCTAGCAATGGAAACCCCATCATTTCCCTTGGGAAGCTACAACCCAGTTAAACAGCTCTCACTGGTAGGAAATATTTCCTGTTCGGAAATGTTTCAGCATCAGTTTTCTTTTGCTCTGTTTATCCCATCACAGCTAGTAGTCTCTCCTTTGGGATATAGTAATCGTATCACTCTGAAAAATGCAGCAAGCTCTGGGCTGAAACACTGCAGCTGTTTAATAGCACAAAGCAACAGTGCACACTCTGGAAATATGGAGTAAAGGTTTCTAAGTTTCCAGTTAACTTTACCAGAAAGGGGATAGAGTTGGGGCAAAGCACATAGGTTCCTTAAAATACAGCTAGGTAGGTAGAACAATGCAAGTTTTTTCATATAAAACATGTCCCTCTTTACCAAGAGCAAAAGACCAAGTTACTGTTCTGTAAATCCCCAATATAGACTCTACTTTTCTTGGAGCTCTCCCAAATCTGACCCTGTTCAACTCATACAAGCTGAGGAGATTACACTGCCAGCTACTACTGAGCATACTGCAGGGCTGTTCCATTCAGCATATACGTTATTCTTCAGCTCTTCTGTTCCAACATGGTTATTTTCCTTCTGTCTTCCTTAAATCATATTTGTTTTTTGCTAGCCGACTCCCCTAAAAGGCCCAGCCCCCTTTGAGCCCAGCTGTGTCATTCTTCATTTCTAAGATAACTTGGACTTTCAAAACATTTGGAATATATTGTATATATTTCACTCTGCTCCAGTATAAATAAAAGAACGGCCCCCAAAGCTGACTCTTAAGTTAAGCTCTTCCCAGCTGGAAAAGGTTCCATTTAGAGCTACCGTGCTCACCACTTCCTGTTTTCAAGTTTTCTATTTGTATCCAGCTAGCTCCTGTGGTTCGTTTGCTTCTTGTCATTTTTTGGACAAAGTTTAGAGTATTTTCTTGTTGGTTTTTTGTTGTTGTTGCATTGTGTTCTGTTTAGGAGACTTTTCATAAAATTTCTGAAAATCAGTGTCAGAGATCTGGCCTTTGTGTGACCAAATTTGTATTTCCCCCCCTCAGTTCCAGGTCTCATTATTGCATTATTCAAAGCAAATCTTTTCTGAATCTGACACCAGGGCTTTCATTATGATTGAAGTAGACATAGTTCCCAAAGAATGCATCCCAGTCTTTGCATCTGCCCAGGCACGTTATCTCTAATGTCGGCATGTCCGAGGTTTGTTATAACTGGTAACGTCCTGCAGCCCAAACTCCGTGAATACTCCCCGTCCTGTCGGTTGGTCTGGGACATCTGTGACTTGTAGGATGAGAGGGGAATCCACTATCTGTGAGTTGTTCAATGTTGGCCTCTCTGGGGAGACTGCCAGCAAGCGGGTAAGAAGTGCTAATTGGCATGGCAATGATGGAGATGTGGTCACCTATGATAAGGAGTTGGCAGAGACCCACCACCAACTTTCACATAATGCAGGCCAAAGAACTGTTTAGTACCAAGAGCTTGATAATGACTCTCAGTGACATTGCCCTGGTCTAGATTATAACCAAGACTCTCCCTTTTAATCTTGCTTCTGCTAATTGTTCTAGTTTTTCCAATAATTCTCCATAACTGATTCCTAGACATGGGTATTCACAGTCCTCTGCTGCATGTATTAAAATGCCAGATCCTGAGCTGTTGTAAATCAGTGTAGTTCCATTGATCTCAGTAGAGTCATTTGTCTCAATAGGGCTACACAGATTTATACCAGCCGAGGATCTGGAACATTGTATTTATTTGGTACTTTGTTTGCACAACACAGACGGCTTCTATGCCTTTAATGCCTTAGACACTGGACATTAGGATTTTAAAAGGCCAATGCTGAGTGAATTCAAAATACATTCATAGCTGTTGATAATAATTTCACAATATTCAAGGAAAACTACTGCAAGACTCTGGTCAATATTTGAGAAACAAATGGAAATGCTCCAATGGAAACTTTAAGAGTTGGGAAACTTTCCATCTCTGTTTTCCAAGTTCCACATTGAATATTGAGACAAAAGGGCAGGTTCTCATCTCAGGTATACTGGTGTAAATGCGAGTAAACCTACTACAGTCTGGATTTCCCTTGGTGTAACTAAATACAGAATTTGGCCCTAAATACACTAAAGGCATTAGAGCAGCAGGGATGACTTTTTTCCCCTCCTTCCTCCCATATATGATGGACAGGTGTGCGTGAAGGGGTGGGAGGAGCAGTGGCTAGTCATGCTATGAAAGGAACCTGCATGGTAGCGTATTGGGGCACTATGTCCAAGCAGAAAACTAGGGAACTCCTTGGAGCTGAAAGATCCAAAACAATCAATTGTACTTACAGGTAATATGAATATGTAACCACAGTCCTGGGAAAAGGAGGTAACGGTGCTGTGGACCTGTGGTCAGCACAGCTGGGATATTACATTCAGATCTATTACATCTCCTTAGCAGAAAGGTATTGAAAATGGGAGAGAGTTCAGAGAAGAGCAACAAAAATAACCAGGGAGCTGGAAGGATTGTTCAGGCCCCTGGATGCAGTCAATGGTATGACTGACAGTCCTGGATTCAGATGGTAATAACAAACAGCACATATAAGATGGTTGTCGGGTGTGACTGTCTGTCTGTGGCTTGGTGAGCTCAACTTGGTGGTGCATCCAGCATGGTTTGGTGTTGCTGATATTCTTTCCTCTTTTATTTCCACCCCTCATTTCCTGCTTTCTGCAGCTATCCTGGAACTGACTGGCACCCACGACATTGAAGGGACATGGAAGAGTTCCATCACCTTGCCATGTGTCTATGTGCCTTCCCAGGACTTTGTGCAGCAAACAGTCATTTGGACCCTGGACCGAGATCAAAACCTTGCCACCGTCTTTCGAAGGGATAGCTCTGGTGATCACATCATGTTGTCACTATACAGAGGTAGGGTCAGCGTCCCAAAATACAGGCCAGGGGATGTCTCTCTTGAAATTGAGAAGCTTGAAATAACAGACCGTGGACACTACACTTGCAAAGTCACCTGGAGAGCCCAGAACAGCAGCCTGCTGACAAAGGAGAGAACCACTACAGTTAAGGTTATTAAAGGTAAATCCAGTAATAAACCCTTGCACCTATGTAGCATTTGTCAGTCATAAAGCACTTGACTGAGCTGGCTTTAGATCTGGTGGGAATGGGGTTATGCAGATGGGCTTCCATGCCACACTGACTCCTCACATCCGCAGGGTTGGGGCCAGCATTTCCCATGGATTCTCGAGCTCCATGCCTCTTCCTCACTAAACTGGCAGCTAGGGTGACCAGGTGTCCGGTTTTTGACTGAAACACCCGGTCGAAAAGGGATCCTGGCGGGCCATTGACTGTCCCCTGACCCCCTCCCAGGCCCCAACCCCCTGCCCCAGCCCCAGCCCCGATCCCCCTCCCGCCCTCCAAACCCCTCGATCCCAGCCTGGAGCACCCTCCTGCATCCCAAACCCCTCATCCCCTGCCCCATCCCAGAGCCCACACCTCCAGCCGGAGCCCTCACACCCTCCCACACCCCAACCCCATGCCCCAGGACAGAGCCCTCTCCCACACTCCAAACCCCCCAGCCCGGAGCCCACTCCTGCACCCCAAATCCCTCATCCCCAGCCCCACATCAGAGCCTGCACTCCCAGCCGGAGCCCACCCCCCCTTACCCCAACCCCCTGTCCCAGCCCAGAGCCCCCTCCCGCACCCTTAACCATAGGCGCCGACTCCATGGGTGCCCCAGGGCTGGAGCACCCACGGGGAAAAATTAGTGGGTGTTCTGCACCCACCGGCAGCCAAACTCCCCTCCCCGCCCCCCAACCCCACCTCACCTCCTCCTCTGAGCGTGCTGCATCCCCGCTCCTCCGCCTACCTCCCAGCGCTTGCTGGCGCCAAACAACTGTTTGGCAGCGTAGCAAGCTCCGGGAGGGAGGGGGGAGGAGCGGGAATGTGGCATGCTTAGGGGAGGAGGCAGGGCCAGGGTGGGAATTTGGGGAACGAGTTGGAATAGGGGCAGGGAGGGGGCGGAGTTGGGATGGGGACTTTGGGGAAGGGGTTGGAATGGGGGCGGGCAGGGGCAGGAGGATGCGGGGCGGGGGTGGAGTCAGGGCAGGGCCAAGGGCAGAGGGGGGTCGAGCACCCACCGGTGCAAGCAGAAGTCGATGCCTATGCCCTGAACCCCTCATTTCTGACCACACCCCAGAACCTGCACCCCCAGCCCAGAGCCCATACCTCCTCTCACACCCCAACCCCCTGCCTCAGTTGGGAGCCCCTCCCATACGCTGAACCCCTTGGCTCCACCCCCCAGCCTGGAGCCCCCTCCTGCACCCCAAATCCCTCATCCCTGGCCCCACACTGGAGCTGGCAACCCCAGGTGGAGCCCTCACCCCCTCCCAGACCCCAGGCCCCTGAGGCAGCCCGGTGAAAATGAGTGAGTGAGTGAGGGTGGGGAGAGTGAGCAACAGAGGGAGAGGGGATGGAGTGAGCAGGGGCGGGGCCTCAGAGAAGGGGCAGGGCATGGGCGGGGCCTTGGAAGTGGGGCAGGGGCAGGGCAAGGGTGTTTGGTTTTGTGTAAGTAGAAAGTTGGCAACCCTAACTGGCACTAGCCCCACCCTAATGCGGGGAAAACAAGCCAGAGGGTGGAATTCATGCCTGTGATGGTGCAGACCCCAGCTATACTCTCTTGGAAAAGTGTCCAAAAAGAGAGAGTTTTAAAATTGCAAAGAAGAGAAAAGTCTCTTAAATATGTTGAAATCTTTTCAGAGAAAAAATATTTTATGCATTTTTAGAAATAAAGGTATTAAATATTAGTTTTTAGGAAAAAATATTGCTTATACATTTAGGTTACTTTGAAAAAAGCTGTGAACAATAATTGTATGTCTTTTGAAATAAAGAATAGAGCATGTATATTAGAGAAGATAAACAAGACACAAAAAAGCAAAAGTCTCTTAGCCTGTAAACATCTTCAGGTCTGTGAAATTAACTCAGAATGTCACAACTAAACACAAGGTGGAATAGATTGTGTAGCATGAGTAGTTAACACATATTTCAAGGGACCAGATCTGTGTAGCTCACAAGCTTGTCTCTCTCAGTAACAGCAGTCAATCCATTAAAAGATATTACCTCACCCACCTTGTCCCCCAGAATTGTTGGCATTTGTCTAGAGATAGCTGCAGGAGTTAGATGGTTTTCTCTTCTCTCTGCCATGTGCTCAGTGACAGAGGCTTTCTTGATGCTTTACATCAGAGGTAGGCAAACTACGGCCGGGGGCCGCATCTAGTCCTTGATACATTTTAAACTGGCCCTTGAGCTCCTGACGGGGAGCGAGGTCCGGGGCTTGCCCTGCTCCACACATGCTGTGGCTCCGCATGGCTCCAGGAAGCAGCGGCAAGTGCCCCCTCTGGCTCCTATGCATAGGGGCAGCCAGGGGGCTCCACACACTGCCCCTGCCCAAAGTGCCGCCCCCGCAGCTCCCATTGACCAGGAACCGTGAGTATTCATGGCCCGCCATACAATTTCCATACCCAGATGTGGCCCTCGGGCCAAAAAGTTTGCCCACCCCTGCTTTACATCTTTCTCTCTCCCTTTATTTTTCCTTTTTCTGTAACTTGCTAAGATGCTTTTGCTTTTCTTAGCTGTTCTCTCTCACTTTGTGTCTTGTTTATTTTCTCTAAAAATGCATGCTCTGTACTTTATTTCAAAAGGCACACAATTATTTTTCAGACTTTATGGCAAAATAATATGAGTGCATAAACAATATTTTCTTTTTAAATTAATATATTTAATACCTTTCTTTCAAAAAAATGCATAATTATTTTCTCTAAAAAGACCTGTTAACATGTCTCTTTTTTGCAGTTTTAAAACTCTCTCTTTTCTAACATTTTTCCTTTCTTTATCACTTGGTGATAATCCACTTAAAAATGCCTATAAAGATATTTTTCTCTAAGAATGTGTAAATAAACCCTATTTTCTTCTAACCTTAACATGTTAAAACACACACACACACACACACACATACACACACACCCGTAATGTTCCCCATAAAAAAAAATTTTTTTTCAAAATGGCTGACTGCTCCAAAAACATAGTGGTCAAAATGTGAGACTGGAGGTAGGACATAAACCAGAAAAGGGGGCACGGAACCCTGTCAAAATTGTGTGGTGATGAATGCTATGGAGTTCTTAACTACTGACCCAAATCCCTTTCCTTCTGTCTTTCAGTTGCAGTGACTAAACCCATCATCAGACCAGGCAATCTGGGATTCACTGTACCAAAAGGGGCTAGGACAAGCCTGACCTGCTCTGCCAATGGGTCCCCACCCATCATCTACCGCTGGTTCAAAGGAGAGCCAGGAGGAGACGCAGTGCATGTGAGCAATCACGCCGTACTCATGTTTGATTCTCTGCGAACGTCTGACACGGGGAAATATTACTGCGAAGCAGAAAACAAAGCAAGCTCACAAGTTATACAGCAGAGTGATGCAGTGCAGCTGACTGTGAGGGGTAAGTGCCCCAAACTAGTGCTTGGTGGTCTCTGAGACACTTCCAGCTGCAGGATGATAATGAGGCAAATGGCTTAGAGGGTTTTTAAAAGGATTAGACATTTATACTGACACTCGCTAGGTTAAAACATCAATGGCTGTCAATCCGCATGCTTTAGGATCACTCAGCTCACTGGCTGGGGTCAGAGAAATGTCATGCACCCTCCAGTGGTATAGTATTGCACAATAAAGTGCATTATGGGAGGCTTCCAACTTCCCCCTAAAGATTTTGTATTTATCCAATTTGTAAATTGAAGGAGTAGCAGAATCTGATGTGTGGTCATTTCTCTCACAGACCTCACAAAACCAGCAACCACAGTACCCAGCTCTGAGAACAAGGCGAACACCACGGCCAAGGCTGTCTCAGAAAGAGGTGAGGCCTGCTCAGCACTGAATCGGAATCAGCTTGGAGACTGGACATGAAGTGATATTTTCATTGTGGTTGTATGTGAATGATATAGAGGAGGAGATGACTATGTGACATGTCCACTCATTTGCAGCCAGTTTTTAGCAGATGGTCTGTAGGCTGCTGAGGCATGTGGCTTGCTGGAAATGACCTCTGCTGCTCTAGGTGACTTCCAGCTCCTCTCTCCCTTGCTCCTTGGGAGACATGTCCTCATGCTGCTGGACTACTTGATTACAGTCTCCATGTGATGGCAGCCATTCTAACACTTGGGGACATGCCTAGGGGAGTTATGGATTTCCTTAGCTCCATTTGGTATGGCATAAATTAATCAGAGGCATTAATCATGCCCCTGTCACCCCAGTGGTTTAAGGGGGCTCAAAGGTATCACAGCAGGGCCTTTCATTTTCTATCCAGAAGGGACTGTCACCCGGCAGGTAAATGGGCAGCACTGGCTCTAAAGGATTTGTTTCACTGGCTTATTAGGCTAAACAGGGAAATGCCCTCCAGTCTTGCAGCTGCTTCATAAACCAGAATCAGATTTCTTTCTGATGCTGAATGACTCGTAAACCATTATGATCACCTGAACCTTGCTTGATTTGCAGATCTGATCACGACAGCATTGGCAACTGGGAGTGACGTGCGAGTTCCAGAAACGCATGAAGTGACAACGGGTAAGGGGAGTAGGGTGACCAGACGTCCCGATATTTCCTTGTTTGTCCCGCGTCCCAACCGATGTTAGGTCGGGACACTGGACAAACAAGCAAATGCTCCGGAGCCCGGAAGTGCTCGCGCCCCACCCCCCGCCCCGACTCCGCCCCCTCCTTCCCCCATTGGCTCCCTCCCCGAATCCCCGCCTCTTCCCCAGGCTCGCCATTCCTCCTCCCTCCACAAGCGCTGGAGGGAGGCCCCGGAGACGCAGGGGGAGCGCAGGGCCGGGGTGAGTGAGAGTCCGGCCTGGCCCTGAGTGCAGGCAGGACTCAGTCGGGCGGTAGGGAGAGTAGGGGGGTGGCCCGCGGGGCCAGGCAGCAGCTGTTCTCCCCCCCTGGGCAGCAGGACTCGGGAGCAGCCGCTGCTGCAGCTCCCACTGCCGCGGGGGGAGGAAGCAGCCGATGACCAAGCTCGGCGGCTGTGGCTCTGGCGCCCGGGCCCGAACCCCCCGGGCCTGTTGCGGGGACCCAGCAGCGCGCACGCTGCGCCCAGCCCCTGGCCAGTCGCATCTGGGCTGGCTGCCCAGCTGGTGCAATCCCGCAGCGGCCCCGGGTCAGAGCATCGGCAGCCCAGCCCCGTTCGTTCCCCTGCGGGACCCGAGCAGGACGGGGCTCCCCCTGCGTTTCCAGGGCCTCCCTCCAGCACTTGTGGGGGGGGGGGTTGGTTTTTCTTTTTGCTCTGCGACCTTTTTTTTTTTTTTTTTTTGGCCTTCCCCCCCCCTACCGCTTCCCCCCCCCCCCCACTCCCCGCATCCCGATATTTGACCTGGGTGATCTGGTCACCCTAAAGGGGAGACCTTTCGAGCAGCGGGCGGGGAGGTCAAGGAGTCAAGCAGGAGGTTCCACGCTGACACCTGGCACTAGATTTTGTTGCAGGAAAATTAACTGTTGGTATAAAAAAATCCAGAATTTCACACTGCTTCTCTGTGTGTATAGATGGTCCATTCAATAGCTTGTACACAAATGCTAGAAGTCTAAATAATGAGATGGGTGAACTAGAGTGCCTCGTGTTAATAGGCATCACAGAAACCTGGTGGAGTGGGGACAATCAATGGGACACAATCATTCCGGGGTACAAAATATATCAGAAGGACAGAACAGATCGGGGGCGGGGGGAGAGACACTATATGTGAAAGAAAATGCAGAATCAAATGAAGTAAAAATATTAAATGAATCCACATGTTCCATAGAATCTCTATGGATAGTAATTCCATGCTCTAATAAGAATATGACAGTAGGGATCTATTATCGACCACCTGACCAGGACAGTGATAGTGATGATGAAATGCTAAGGGAGATTAGAGAGGCTATCAAAATAAAGAACTCAATAATAGTGGGGGATTTCAATTATCCCCATATTGACTGGGTACATGTCACCTCAGGACAAAATGCAGAGACAAAATTTCTCGATACTTTAAATGACTGCTTCTTGGAGCAGCTGGTACAGGAACTCACAAGGGGAGAGGCAATTCTTGATTTAGTCCTCAGTGGAGCGCAGGATCTGGTCCAAGAGGTAACTAGTATAACAGGACCTCTTGGAAATACTGACCATAATATAATAACATTTAACATTCCTGTGGTGGGAAGAACACCTCAGCAGCCCAACACTGTGGCATTTAATTTCAGAAAGGGGAACTATGCAAAAATGAGGAGGTTAGTTAAACAGAAATTAAAAGGTACAGTGACTAGAGTGAAATCCCTGCAAGCTGCATGGACACTTTTCAAAGACACCATAATAGAGGCCCAACTTAAATGTATACCCCAAATTAAAAAACCACAGTAAAAGAACTAAAAAAGAGCAACTGTGGCTTAACAACCATGTAAAAGAAGCAGTGAGAGATAAAAAGGCATCTTTTAAAAAGTGGAAGTCAAATCCTAGTGAGGTAAATAGAAAGGAGCATAAACACTGCCAAATTAAGTGTAAAAATATAATAAAAAAAGCCAAAAAGGAGTTTGAAGAACAGCTAGCCAAAAACTCAAAAGGTAATAACAAAATGTTTTTTAAATACATCAGAAGTAGGAAGCCTGCTAAACAACCAGTGGGGCCCCTGGACGATTGAGATACAAAAGGAGCACTTAAAGACGATAAAGTCATTGCAGAGAAACTAAATGAATTCTTTGCTTCAGTCTTCACAGTGGAGGATGTTAGGGAGATTCGCAAATCTGAGCTGTCCTTTGTAGGTGATAAATCTGAGGAATTGTCACAGATTGAAGTGTCACTAGAGGAGGTTTTGGAATTAATTGATAAACTTAGCAGTAACAAGTCACTGGGACCAGATGGCATTTACCCAAGAGTTCTGAAAGAACTCAAATGTGAAATTGTGGAACTATTAACTATGGTTTGTAACCTGTCCTTTAAATCAGCTTCTGTACTCAATGACTGGAAGATAGCTAATGTAACGCCAATATTTCAAAAGGGCTCTAGAGGTGATCCTGGCAATTACAGACCGGTAAGTCTAATGTCAGTACCGGGCAAATTAATTGAAACAATAGTAAAGAATAAAATTGTCAGACACATAGAAGAACATAAATTGTTGGGAAAAAGTCACTATGGTTTCTGTAAAGGGAAATCATGTCTTACTAATCTATTAGAGTTCTTTAAGGGGTCAACAAACATGTGGACAAGGGGGATCCAGTGGACATAGTGTACTTAGATTTCCAGAAAGCCTTTGACAAGGTCCCTCACCAAAGGCTCTTACATAAATTAAGTTGTCATGGGATAAGAGGGAAGATCCTTTCATGGATTGAGAACTGGTTAAAAGACAGGGAACAAAGGGTAGGAATAAATGGTAAATTTTCAGAATGGAGAGGGGTAACTAGTGGTGTTCCCCAAGGGTCAGTCCTAGGACCAATCCTATTCAACTTATTCATAAATGATCTGGAGAAAGGGGTAAACAGTGAGGTGGCAAAGTTTGCAGATGATACTAAACTGCTCAAGATAGTTAAGATCAAAGCAGACTGTGAAGAACTTCTAAAAGATGTCACAAAACGAAGTGATTGGGTAACAAAATGGCAAATGAAATTTAATGTGGATAAATGTAAAGTAATGCACATTGGAAAAAATAACCCCAACTATACATACAATATGATGGGGGCTAATTTAGCTACAACTAATCAGGAAAGAGATCTTGGAGTCATCGTGGATAGTTCTCTGAAGACGTCCACGCAGTGTGCAGTGGCAGTCAAAAAAGCAAACAGGATGTTAGGAATCATTAAAAAAGGGATAGAGAATAAGACAGAGAATATTTTATTGCCCTTATATAAATCCATGGTACACCCACATCTTGAATACTGCATACAGATGTGGTCTCCTCATCTCAAAGAAGATATACTGGCATTAGAAAAGGTTCAGAGAAGGGCAACTAAAATGATTAGGGGTTTGGAACGGGTCCCATATGAGGAGAGATTAAAGAGGCTAGGACTTTTCAGCTTGGAAAAGTGGAGACTAAGGGGGAATATGATAGAGGTATATAAAATCATGAGTGGTGTGGAGAAAGTAAATAAGGAAAAGTTATTTACTTGTTCCCATAATATAAGAACTAGGGGTCACCAAATGAAATTAATGGGCAGCAGGTTTAAAACAAATAAAAGGAAGTTCTTCACACAACGCACAGTCAACCTGTGGAACTCCTTGCCTGAGGAGGTTGTGAAGGCTAGGACTATAACAGGGTTTAAAAGAGAACTAGATAAATTCATGGAGATTAAATCCATTAATGGCTATTAGCCAGGATGGGTAAGGAATGGTGTCCCTAGCCTCTGTTTGCCAGGGGGTAGAGATGGATGGCAGGAGAGAGATCACTTGATCATTACCTGTTAGGTTCACTCCCTCTGGGGCACCTGGCATTGGTCACTGTCGGTAGACAGGATGCTGGGCTGGATGGACCTTTGGTCTGACCCAGTATGGCCATTCTTATGTTCTTATGTTCACCTCCTTCCCAGCTTCCGGTCCATGTGGGTTTGTCCGAATCCTGATGTTTGCTTTGAGTTTCAGGATTCAAATGTACTGAAAATCTCAACTGTCATGATTTGCCTAGTTTTTCAGTGAAACAGTAGATATCACGTGATTTTTGAGACAAAACCCAGCGTGTCTCAAAATATCTGTGAACCGTGGTGACACTTTGGATGAGATGAGCTGAAACTAGAGTTTTAATGAGGCCCCAAACCAGATGAGTTTCATATGGTTTGATGTTTGGATGGGAACGTTTTGCACAGCTCTGCTCTGCACAGCTCCTACTTTCTCAGTCAGCAGGGGCTTCCTTTCATCTCTGAGTGGAGATGCTGACCATGAACCACAATATCACAGCAGGAGGCAAGTGCAGGAACTCCAGCTGTGAGACAATAGATTGGACTGAACCACTACCTCAGCTCTGAGCCCCTTTGGCCCAGCTGGCTGACTCAGTATGAGGAAGGGACAGAAACAAAAACCACATAACCCAGGCCTCAGTCAGTACATTCAGCTCCCAAGGGAAAGGTCCATCATCATGGTTGTGGCTGTTTTTATTAATTACAAAGCAGAACTGCTTCCTTGCTTGAAACCTCAGCTTGTGCTGTTTTGATCTAGCCCCGCGGAGGACCGGCCTGCCCCTCTATCTCCTCATCCTGATCGTTGTGCTCTGTGTGGCTGTGGTTTTTGTTGTCGTCGCTGTCGTCTTGTGCAGGAGAAAGACCAAGGAGGGTGAGTGATTAGGTGTAACTCACTCCAGATAGATGGGGTCTTCCCAGCAGGCCAGTAGTCACATTGCACTCCCACAGGCTACTCACTGGCCTAGCTTACATACATGGACATTCAGTAAGAAGAAATAATCTAAGCAGCTTTCCTCCATCCAGCATATAGACTGGAAGGAATGAGCTGGCCCCAAATTAGAATACTGATGCAATATAACGAAAGGAAAATGAGTCACTTCTCATATTTGAACACAAGGGGGCAGGCATGTTCTATCAAGGAAGGGAATGGACAGGGTAATCACAATCACAGTGCCTGCCTTCCTAGATTTCCTATGAGCACTGAACTGAGGGTACACTGTCTATCCATTGCAGGACTGTGAATGCACATCTTGCAAGTGTGTACCCCAGAGATGGTTGCTAGGAAATCAGCATGGTTCCATTCTCTAAAAGCAGCCTCCAGTTGACACCAATCCTCAGCATATCTCCTACAGACTGTAGAACTTGAGTAGGTGATTCCTAGCTGAGACCAGCTCAACATGGATCCTACTGGTGAATCAGGGGGTAACCGCTTCCTCTTGCCTCACTTGGTGGAGCCATTGCCTGCATACAAGAGACCAAGAGAGGTCATGTGCAGGAGACAGAGAATCTGGGCCCCAGACAGGGCCGGCGCTTCCACTAGGCGACCCTAGGCGGTCGCCTAGGGCGGCAGGATTTGAGGGGCGGCATTTTGCCGCCCTCGGTGGAAATTCGGCGGCGGGGGGGGTCCTTCCACTCCGGGTCTTCGGCGGAAATTCGGCGGCGGGGGGGGGTCCTTCCGCTCCGGGACTTCGGCGGAAATTTGGCAGCGGGTCCTTCACTCGCTCCGGGACCCGCCGCTGAAGTGCCCTGAAGATGCGGAGCAGAAGGACCCCCGCCGCCGACTGCTCAGAGGAGGAGCGCTGTTGCCTAGGGCGGCAAAAACCCTGGCGCCGCTCCTGGCCCCAGATAACCAGTCACCAGAGGCTAAATCCACTTTAGTGTCTGCTCCTTAGCTGGGCGGGCACAATACATTCAGTCCCAATCGTAAGAGCTTTCTAGTGTTCATTTCAGAAATGGCAATTTTTTTTCAATAATTGTTGTACAGAAATATCAGTCAGGGAGGGGCAGCAAGATGTAACGGACTGAACACAAGGCTGGGAGGTGAGACCTCCTGGTTTCTAATCCCAGCTCAGCTGTGACTTTCAGCTGGTCATTAACCACTCTGTGCCTCCATTTTCCCATCTGTAAAATGGTAACAAAAAACTTACTTAGCAGGGTGCTTGAGTGGATTTATTAATGTCTGTATAGTACTATGAAAACTTTAAACAGTGCTATGTAAGTGCCATTTATCATTATTAAATCTTCTTTCAATGAGCACATTTTTTAAATAAAACTGATTTTCTCTGTGGGGTAATAAAAATGCAAAATTTTCACATTTGTGTTTTATTCTTTTTTTCAGATAATCCGTATGAAGTAACATAGTGAGTAAGGTTCATCATCTGTCATGCTGAGAGAACTTCTGGTGTTGTAATATTGATTTCTGTGGCAGGAAAACTATTTGCCAAGTGAAGAATGAATGTCCTCTTTGGTTATACAGGAGAAGAGGTTTGAATAGCTTAATGGTGTATGTGATTGACAGCATGAAGGTTTAGTTATTTACACAGGGGACAGCGACAGAAATGTTCTTGAATGATATCTTAGAATCACACCAAAATTAGAGTTGGAAAAAACCTATTGGATTCTCTGTTCCTTCACCAAAGAGACCAGTGCATGATTTTCCTCTGTAGTGAATTCACAGTGTTTTGTCCAGAATCTAAAGAACAGGAATTTCTAGCTCTTCCCTTGGGATAATATCCCAGTTGAATGGGTCTCCCCGTTGAGAACCATTTCCTGATGTTCATCCAAACTGTCCTTTGCTGAACCTCCTTCCATTACTCCCTGGTATTTCTCCCTGGACCATCCTAATCCTAAATTTGAACCCCTGTGTCCTACTCTTCCATTTACTGACACACATACACAAGACAAGTGCCAATTTAAAGGCCCCGACAATAAAAACAATACGTAATGTGGGAACTACTTATCCAGATGCCAAGGAAAGTGATCATATGAGTGTATGTTGCAGTGTGATATTCTGCCAATGAAATTTGTCCAGGTGCTATTCTATCAGTGAAGTTTGTACAGCAGTATGTTAAAATAAGGTCTAACTCTGACCAATATTGTGCACTGCATGATGGGACTGCTCTTCGTTGGTTGCACCTTCACTGTAAAGATGTGGCCAGAGAACTTTATCAGTTGCATTTGGTCCATGTGTTGCAATTTGTCCACTATTTGTTCTATCGTTTATTCTCCAACAGCCAAATTCCCCATGGGTGTAGCCCCATTGAGGTCAGTATGGTAATGTCAGCTAACGTTGGAGCCAAATTCTCTGCTGATTGTTCTTGGTTGCCACTTTTTTGTATGTGACTCTCTCATCATTGTTGCATGTCTCTTTAAACCAACTTGCACAGCCTCCCATAACGTCCCTGGATTAGTATCAGGAGTCTTGTTATTCCACAGCTAATATTCCTCTGTCATTCAAAAGCAGAGGCCCAGAGCCTGATCTCAAATACCCCACTGCAAATCCAGAGTCACTCCACTGAAGTTAGTGGAATGACTCTGGATTTACCCTGCTCTGGTTTAAATGAGATTAGAATCTGAAGATGTCGAGTCTCCCCTGGCTCCTTCCTCCCATTAATGTTGGACTTTTGTTTCAGTCAAAACACGAGGAATGACGCGAGAAGACAGACTTGTTCAGGAGTCAATGGCAAGTGCATGTATGAGGAGGGAAAACCCACGGTCAAAAACAACTACACAACACAGCCTGTGAAAGAGAATGAATATGAGACAATAAGCATAAAGGAAAACATTGAATACAAGTTCCTTGTGAACGCAATGGAATCGGAATATGAAGTGGGGGATGTTCAATAGGGAACCAGCATTTTCATGCAAGCAGGAGTGCAGAAGATAGAGCTGGACAGCTTCAACGGTGACCCTTCACCAAGGGAAACCCTCCTTCCCGTCTGTCTTCTCCTCTGGTAAATATTCTAAACTCATTCGTTTATTTGTTCAGGGGGAACTGTGTCACCTTCTGCTTCTTTAGCAAATTGAGCTCTGGCCTTTGTTGCAGAAACCCTCAGCAAAGCAGTTATCTAACTGATTTATGCAGTGATTAATTTGTGAGCATCCTGAAGGATGGGGATCAGGGCTAAAGGGGCTCCACAAAAGTCTTGAAGCTGCAGATCAAGGTAGATAGTGGATTGTAACATACCTAACAAATGATAATGAAAACAATAAAAAGATCTATAATGATAAGTGTACATTCCCTGGCTAGAAAGTTACTGAATGCTTAGGGCCAGGGAACTTTGTTAAAAGGAGGAAAGTTCTCTGGCTTCCTCCACTACATTAAACCACTGATTTTACATCTTATTTGCACTCAGGTCTTCTCCCCAAGATTTGGGGTGGGGTGGTAAAGGGTCCGTAAGGGTTTGGTTGATGTCCAGGGTGTGTCAGATTGGAGCTGATTGTTTGCTAGAAGAAAGAATAGCATCTTTCTTTCCTGCCTCTCTTCTGGAAAATCAGAGTTGATGTTGGGGAAAATACTACAGCTTGACTTTAGGGTGGGGGGAATAGGAACACAATATAATAGGAATGTTACAGGACTTTGTCATCCTGAGTCAGAGTTTAGAGGGGAACGAAACGGGTGGTCTAGTGATATGAGCCAAGGGTTTGGGAACCAGAATCTCCTGAGTTTTAATACAGGCTCTGACACCGGCTCACTGTGTGACCTTAGATTGAGACACATGCCAATCTGCTTCAGTTATTTATCTGTGTAATGGAGATATTAATACTGACCTATCTCACAGGGATGTTGTGAGGCTTTCATGTTTGTAATGTGCCTTAAACATAGCAAGTGCTTGATAAGTGCTGAGTATTTTAATATTCTCCCATGGTAATTGCAAAGGGGTCTCAAGGAGTCTATTGAATCTTGACTCTGACCACTTTGGTCTTTCATTATCCAATGTACGCTCATTCTGTTTCCTGCAATTTATTCCCCTTGCTCTCTTGTCTGATGTAACTCTGCAGAGTGATTTGGGGTACAGCGTGCCCTACTCAAAATAAAGTTAGATGGTGTTTTCACAGTCACTGGTACAGTCTCTTCACACAAGTTTTCACAGACGTGCAGCTTGCCTGCCATTGTAGTGACAGCACAAGAGGATGTGAGAGTTTGGGTCCTAAAGGTTAGCTCACAGCTACTTACTCTAATGACACAAATAAGGTTTTACTATTTTGTGTTGCTGTCAGACCTGCTGAGCCAGGGTCAGATCTGCTCTTAATTATACCATTGCAACTCCACTGAGAATGCATTGCAGCTGTGCACACAGAAATGGTACTGTGCAAAGACAGGGCAATGCTGGCTGCCCCACACCACTGCTTCCACCTGCTGACCAGGAGCAGCTGGAGCACAAAAGGCAGGATGATTTTTCTCCTGAGCTGTAAAGCAAAACCAGCCAACCACCAATCCAGTAACCATCATTTAGTAGCCCCAGTGGAGTAGGTTAAAAAAGACAAGAATATTTCTCTCTCTCTCTCTCACTCTCACTCTCTCTCACACACGCTCACACAAATTAAAAGAAATTAATGTTTTTCTTCAGTTGAAATTTGTAGTGGTAATGTATTGTTTTCTTAATGAAAAATTTTGCAAACATTTTCAATTTAAAAAAAAAATTAAAAGATTGTTTCATTTTGTGCGGAAAACCTACTTTCTCTCACTTTATTACTTTTTCTACTAATAAAAGAAGGGAAAAGTTAAGCCACTGGAAAAACTGAGGAAAAAGTAAAATAAAATGGAATTTTTGTTCTAATTTTTAATTTTTTCTCATTCCCCACCCACACGCCTCCTGCTTTCCAATGGAAAAAAGTCAGAAAGTGAGAGAAAATGACTATTTCCCCTCAAAAGAAAAACTTTTTTTAAAAAAGAAAAATTTTAAATATTTTCTTTCTAATTTTTTCATTAGAAAACAAACAAAAACTAACCCAACCTGAATGAAAAAATAATGCAAATATTTTTGTTTCCCCTGAGAAAAACTTTGATGGAGAATTTTCAACTAGCTGAGAAGCCCAAGGCTTATCTCCAGTAACATCCTCCACCTCACCTCCCTTCCCCTTTCCTCTCCAAATCAATTATGTCTCACCCATTCTGAATGGGGTTTCTTCCATGAGACAAATGGAGGGTGTTCTACATGTCAGTGGAGGTCATCGCTCTTATTTTAGTAACCCTTGATTTATATCCTACCTGGTGCTGCTCTCCGGGTCCTGATTTACACCAGTCAGGTAGATAGAACCTGGATGGATCTTGAAATCTCAGAGCGTGAGAGGAGAGAGAGGGAGGAAAAGTGGGGGCAGATGGGACTTGGAAGAGACTTTATCTTATTTCTCCCTGCTGTAACCTTTTCTTGTTCAGGCCACTAGGAGTCCCTGTTTAGCCACACAACTACTCTTGACCTGGAAGCCTGAACAATTGCCTCCTTCATCACCCTTATAAAAATGACGTTAAAGGGGGCTGAGTGATGCAGGGAATTGGCAGTGCAAGTAAAGAACTTTTCACTTCAAGGACACCGGTTCAAATCCCGGGGGACATCACAAACTCCATCAACACAACTGACAACCTCGAGCAATGGCTGAAGTGGGGAGCAGAGGAAAAATACACTGGAAAGTGTTACATCAACTTAACTAAATTATGTGAATGCTACCCAGATAATACGGTGATCAGTGCCTTAGAAATGAATATGGTAAATAAATGAATTGACAGGGTCAGCAGAAAGGCCAAGGTGTGATAGAACATCATCTATTCATCCCTAAAGACGGTAGGAGGCCCTGTAGGCGGGAGCTTATAATGACATTGCCTGAGCTGTACTCAGTCTTCAGATCAGCAGGGGCCTTCATCAAGCCCAAATGTAGCTGTCTAATTGGGGGCAGTCACACAGTCCTCTGTTTCTCAATCAGAACTCCCAATGGGCATTGCTATCGGCAGACAGAAGTACGACTACTGCCAAAGGAGGCGGCCTGTTCATGTTGCTTTTATTATTCAAAACCTAAGTATGTTAAGTAATCACAACAGACCACTACCAAACACATGTCAAAGTGTCCGAGTGGGATATGGAGTCTTTCTCTCCTAGGGAAGTAGCTCAAATATACATTTATGTGGCTAGAATAAAGACTCCACTTTAATTTGATTGACTTCTTTCAACTTCAGTCAATGTACAATGTGCTCCTCATTCAGTCCCAAGGCCTCTTTGCACTCCAAAGACTCTGTGAGTGAGAAGAGCCCTCTAAAAATGTGCTAGGATCCAATTGCCCTGTGTGTGCAATTACTATGCTTGAACCTTAGATGCTGTAACCAAACTGTGCCAGCAGGTGGTGATTCTGCAAAGCTGCTCCTTGCTTATGTTTGATTTGCTGTATCCCACTATTACCAACCCCAAGCATTCAACAATCATGAGTCAGTCCCCAAAAATCAAACCATCTTAAAAACATGAGATTTGTTTAAAATAATATATTTTGAGTTCCTTTTATGTGTCGTCTGCCTTTTGAAGCTTTAGGGTTCAAGTGTTCAAGGTTTCTCTGTAACCATGAGGACTAGAAACTTACTCTTTTTAAAAAAATGAAAGCTGAGATTCTCATGCAGTCACTTGACTCCAGAAGCTGGAGCTTTAAGAAAGACACCAATGAGAATCATGAGAGTTGGTAACACTGTATCCCCAAGAGTCTCACCTATTTACTACATCTGCTTCCAGCTCCTCTGGGTCATCCCTATGACTCCTTAGTGCTTCCTGCAACAAACAGGCCCTACTATTCTGCCTGCTTTCATGGGTTGGTCAATTAGCTGCGAGGTCACTTGTGGGGGATACAGAGTGGAGACATTAAGCTATGGATGGCACTGTTGTGTTGCTAGACTGCATCACTACTTAGCAAAGCTTCCTCTGTCCCAAAGCAATGTCTTTCCCTCTTGGGCTGCTGTTCTCCCCCACTACACAACTGCCAGGACCTTTTCCCCACTAGTTCCCCAGCCTGACCATAGAAATGCCCATGGAAACAATTAGCTCTCAGTACAGCTGAACTAGAACACCAAATCCAACCTGCCCACCCCAACTTTTGTCACAAATTTATGGACAATTCAGATCCTTTGTGTCCCAGGCCCATCCCTGCAGCTGGCCAACTCAGAACCCCAATTCTGCACACCCCAGAGCTCACTGGGGATCTTCCACTTCTGATTGGATTGTGGAGCTGGTCTGCACAACTTGGCTTATCTGTCATTTGTGGGGTACATACCTGGGAAATGGGCAATTTTCTAAAGGTTCATAAAGAGACATGGATCATCAGTCAGTCTGCCTCCCCTTTCTGCCTCACCTACTCAGACAGGGAAGGGGTTAAAAGCTGCAGTGGGGTTGGGCTGCAATCAACTGCATCTGGGTTTGGTGGGGTGTGGCCATAAAAGATGAGGCAAGGCAGGGAGTAGGTTTTGCAGGACAGATTGAGTAAGAGGAGGTTTTCAGAGAAAAGAGTAGAGCCTTTTGCTAGCCTGTGATAGGAAAAGAAGAGGAAGCTCAGAGAGGGAAATGAGGTCCTCTGAAGCAAAAATTCAAACAGATTTCTCTCCACTCGTCTTTGAGGTTCTGTCAGGCCCTGAAACCATGGGGGTAGAGTAGACACTGACCCTTGTCATGGAAGTAAGCAGGGCTGTTCATGACAGGCCTATGAGAAAGGAACAGGTTTAGTAAGTTATGAAGGAAGGGTCTTAGGTTATTAGCCTAAAGCCAAGCTACTCTGCTTATTTCTTATGGAGAAGTAAGAATACCCTTCCACCCGCCCATCCTGCCCTGAGAGCTTAGGGGCCTGTTTGTTCTAGCCCTTCCTGATGGGTTTATTGTTTTAAATAAACCTGCTGGATCCTTGAGACTGGAGATGTTTGAGCCACTTTGCCAGCACCTCATATGCCCTAGCAGTACTGCCAGCTTGAAGCATCAAAAAATCATGAGATGGGCTTAAAAAAGGGATTTTTATTTTTATTTTTTACAAATAGTTAATGTTGGGTTCTTTTTAATCTGCCTTCTGGTTTCTGAGCATTCAGGGTGCCCTCACTTCATGTTTGCAAGCTTTTCTCCATGACCAGGAGGGCTAAAACTTACTTTTGTGAATGAAAGCAGAATCTCTTGATTCCAGGAGCTGGGGTTCTAAGAAACGGGGTTCAAAAAGTCATGAGTGTTGGCAACATGTGTTGTGTAATGTATAAATGGACTGCCTCCCTTGTCTGCAGTTACTCCTTTAATCTGCCCCAGTGAGTTTAAAGATCTCTGGCAAAAACCAAACGGGAGGAACATTCCTTCCTGGAAGGGTGTGTGAAGCCCTGTTCTTAGCTCCCTGTCATAGCTGTATGTGTTGCTTCCTGCATTATGCTCTTGACTCAATCGCTTTGTCTCGGTCTCGGTCTCTTTGTTTCTTCCCTACTGCTTGTTTACTCGGGTTTACATGCTGAGCTGCTCACCAGCAATCTGCCTGAGCACATGAAGGTGCTTCAGACTCTGCCCCCTTCCCTCCTGCCTCCCACACTAGCCTGTGGCTTGACATTACTTATGTGCTACTCTTATGTGAAACAAGTGCCTTAGATGCTTTTATAGCTAACAATAGCATCTGCGGTGGTGATAGCAAGTGCAACGTTTCTGGGGCTGTCAGTCCTCATGTGACAGGGCATTAATTGATCAACAGGCAGGGACGGGAAGAACTATCTTTTCTCCCACTTTCCCTGGAACAGTACTGTATAATGAGGGGATCTGTGGGTGCTAACACCGCCTTTAAAGTTTCTGGCCACTATTAGAGACAGAGTAACGGACTAAACATCTCACGGTTCTGTTCCAGTAGGGCAGTTTTCATATCCTTTCTGAGGGTTGAAGCAATTGTAAGGGTGTGATTCCATTTAAACAGTATTGCTTGCTGTGCTGGGGTGTAGTTCTGTGCCACTCGCTGAGAAATGATGTTTAATAGCTCTCAGGGTCTGTCCATGCTTCCTTGGTAACCACTGGAGAAGCTTTGTATCAACAAGTGAGGAGCTGTGCACCACTGGAAATAAA